ATTAAAGTGCTCCTATGCCCAACTCTAGGCATAGGAGGGGTTTAGGGAGTGTGCTGGTGGTAAGCAAATTGGAGATCTGAAAATGCAAATGAGACTAGGTGGCAGGTCTGAGAGACCTGCGGGAATGAAAAGGAGTTTGTCTCCTTTACAGCAAAATCCTCTTCTAGTCGAATCACAATCTTCAAATTTTTAGAAGTTTAACTTTAAAAATTTTACATCTTGCAGCAGAACCGACTGATTACTAAGGGCTCTAAGTGTGAGTTCTTACAGTCGGAGCTGGAGTTCCTGGGGCACGTGATTTCAGGGGAGGGCATTAAAATTGACCCTCGCAAAGTGACGGCGATTTCGGAGTGGAAGCCGCCCACGAACATCACGGAGTTGCAGAGTTTCCTCGGCTTCGTTAACTACGTCCGCCGTTTTGTACCGAATATGGCGGGGGTGACCAGGCCGTTAACCGATCTTCTGCATAAGGGCGTGCAATTCTGTTGGGGGGAGAGAGAACAGCTGGCTTTCAACGAGCTGAAGAAAATTTTGAGTTCACCCCCGGTGCTTCGGCTAGCAGATCCATCTCGACCGTTCGAAGTCGTGACGGACGCCAGCGATTTCGCCGTGGGTGCTGTGCTACTACAGGACTTCGGCAACGGGCTGCAACCCATCGCGTACGAATCAAGAAAAATGCAGCCGCCCGAGCGCAACTATCCGGTCCACGACAAGGAAATGCTCGCCATCGTGCATGCATTTCGTACTTGGCGCTGTTGTTAAAGTTTAGAAGAAAGAAGAGGGTTGCACTAGCAAGAATGAGGATACAAATAGCAAACCCTAGAAGGGTTGTACTCGCTATAGAGCACCCCACTACAGGCTAGAGCATAAGATAACATTCTGACACACCCCCATAGCCAAAGTGGGGTGTAATCAGCAGAGTAAGCAAAGGAGTACAAGCTCAGGGTGGATCACAATGTCACCACACATTCTGAGCACAAGTTCAAGAAGCAATAGTTTAAGTTCACAATTATGAGCAAAGCTAGTGGTAGTCACAACGGGCAAGTGAGGAGGAGGAGAGAGAGTGAGAGGAGAGGAGATAGGAGGCGACGGCTGAAGCTGCAGACACACAGGCAACAGGAGGCAGACTGGCACAGCGGCTACCGGACGAAGTCCCCGGAATACAGGAGTAACAGGCCCCGCGGCTAAAGTAGCGGCAGACGAGCAACGGACCCACGGGCGGCTGGCACAGCTGGCTACGACTGGGCTACCGGACGAAGTCCCCGGAATACAGGTGCTGCTGGCGACACGACGGCAACCTCCATTCAGCTTCCCCAAACTATCCCACTCCCCCCTGGCACATACCCGCTGCTACACCGCTAGCTCCACTCCCCCTTCACCCCCCCTTAGTACCACTCCACCGGCTCCAACACGTCCACCCCCCCTCAGCGGCAGCTGCAGCACAGGGAGACGGAGGAGGAGGAGGAGCAGGGAACAGTACACAGTGGGTGCACCCCCATACCCCGCACCCCCAAACCCTAATACAGGAGAATGGGGAGTAGGAGGGGTGGGGCACGAGTAGAAGCGCTGGGGGACAGTAGGGAGGGCAGGGGCAGCAAGGAGCGGGCCCACCACGGGCCTGGTAGGGTCGCCCGAACCGCGCGTAGGCGGCCTGAGCCGCGCGCGGGCCTGGCGCCGCCCGTACGGGTGGCGCGCGGGCCTGGCGCAGCCCGTACGGGTCGCGCGCGGGCCTGGCGCAGCCCGTACGGGTCGCGCGCTGGCCTGGCGCAGCCCGTACGGGTCGCGCGCTGCCTGTACGGGCCGCGCGCAGGCCACGACGGGCGACGGGGGGCGACGAACGGGTCCCCGTCGCCCGTCGCGGCGCCTCCCGAGGGCGACGCGACGGTTGACGGGGCCGAAGCCCGCCGCGCGCCTCGGGGCGCACAGCGGGCAGAGAACCGCCGCGCGCCTCGGGGCGCACGGCGGGCAGAAAACCGCCGCGCGCCTCGGGGCGCACGGCGGGAAGAAAACCGCCGCGCGCCTCGGGGCGCACGGCGGGAAGAAAACTGCCACACGCCACGGGGCGTGCGGCACCGAGTGTAGTGGTAGGAGTTGCAGCGGAAGCTAGGAGGTGGTAAGCCCACCCACAGGATCGATCCAAGGGGATCGACCTGCTCTGATAGCATGTTAAAGTTTAGAAGAAAGAAGAGGGTTGCACTAGCAAGAATGAGGATACAAATAGCAAACCCTAGAAGGGTTGTACTCGCTATAGAGCACCCCACTACAGGCTAGAGCATAAGATAACATTCTGACAGCTGTTACCTCACGGGAGCTGACGTCACCGTCCGAACCGACCACAAGTCATTACAATACATGCGCAACCAACCACAACTCAATCCGCGACAAATCCGGTGGCTCGATTACCTCGAGTCCAATTTCAGCTACACCATCACGTACAAAAAGGGCGCCAACAACATCGCCGACGCCCTGACCCGACCATCAATGCAGACCGCAGCAGTACTAATCGCCCATTCTAACCCTTTATTGACAGGATTATTCAAGCATGGCTACAGGATTGACCGGTTTTTCCGGACCAATCAACACCACGGGGTCACCACGGCGCATGGGAGCTACTACCTAAAAGTCGGTACTAACCGAGTTTGGGTACCTTCCTACCGACCCTTACGAGAATTGCTGACGCAGGAAGTACACGACTCCAACCTCTCCGGGCATTTCGGCGTCGACAAAACGTTGAAGCTGCTGCAACGGAATTATTACTGGCCCGACATGGCGTCCGACGTGCAGCACTACGTGTCCGCCTGCCCGACCTGCCAAGCAATGAAGTCATCACGCCAACGCCCAGCTGGATTGCTGCAACCCCTCGAGCCACCCGAACGACCGTGGCAACAGGTGACAATGGATTTCGTCACAGGACTGCCGGCGGGCGCAAGTGGCAACGACTCGGTACTTGTCGTCGTCGATCGCTTAACGAAAATGGCGCATTTCGCACCATGCCGCACGACGATCACAGCCGAAGAAACAGCGAAGCTCTTCATCTCGACCGTCGTACGACTACACGGGTTGCCATCGGCGATAATCAGCGACCGCGACCCAAAATTCACGTCGAAGTTCTGGCAAGAGACGTGGGCACAGTACGGCACCCGCCTGCAGTTTTCGTCGTCGTACCATCCACAGACCGACGGACAGACAGAGAGGACAAACCAGACGATGGAGCAGTTGATTCGCACGAACTGCCCCGACATCACCAAGTGGGAGGATTCCCTTCCCATGCTCGAGTTTGCGTACAATAACGCCCCATCTGCAACAACCAAGCAGTCGCCGTTCTACCTGAATTACGGGATAGATCCGGTAGTACCCTCGTCAACAACTCCCGATAACCCGGTACCAAGGTCGCAGCAGTTTGTTTCGGAACTACAAGCAGCGCGAGACAAAGCAGCGGAATTTATCCGGAAGGCTAATACGGCCGCCAGCCACTACGCCGACCGACATCGATGGACTTTACCCTTCCGTGACGGGCAGATGGTCCTCCTGGACACAAAAAACCTCAAGCTGCCCCAGCCTGCAAAACTGCGTCCCCGCTACGTGGGACCCTTTCGCATCCTTCGGATGCTGACACCGGTCACTGCGAAACTTCTACCGGACGACTGGAAAATCCACGACGCTTTCCACGTCAGTTTACTTCGCCACTATGTGGCACCGCAGTCGTCCGACGTCGCCCGACCCCACCAGGCGCCAAGTGTCCGACCTGTGGCAGACCCGACGCTTCAACCTTGGAAGATATTGAACCATCGCATTCGTGCGACCCCCGCCGGACGCCACGTCGACTTCCTGCTACGCTGGGTGGATCGCACAAGCGACGATGACACGTGGGTCCCGGCTGACTCACTACAAGGGCACTCGGTACTTCGGCAGTATCTTTCTCGCCGACATGTGCCTGATATCGACCACCTTTCTTAAGGGGGGGGGTAGTGTAAGGAATTTCGCTAATTCCTTACTGAGGCATCTCTTACGCGTACAATTCCAACTTTCGGAATTCAGGCTCGGTCCGACGACCTCGCCTTCCGAACGTCTCCCGCGTCGCCCTCGGGTTTCCCAACCCCAAACCTGCACCCAACCTTCGCGCGACTCCGCGACCTCGGCCTAGCTAGCTGTGCTATATTATACCTAGGCCTCGTTGTTTGCTCAGTAGTTGTAATCACTTCCGCGATATTGCATTCTGCGCACTCTTCTTTCATACAACTCATAACAAAGACTGTCTGCCCTCTGTATGTGGTACGAACCGCCTCATTTATTATCCAAAACTCATAAACATGTTGCCTGTACAAGATGAGTTGTTGCTTTGCACACATCTATCACATGTTTAGAAGCCTTTACCATTGTCCTGATTGGCTAGCCTTGAAGAGGCCTTGGTCAATCAGCCAAAAACCCTTTTGTTGGGCTGTATCTTATACATCATTGCTGCTGCCTTTCTGCAAAAAAAAATTGTTTGCTTCACATATGCAATCTGGTTCACTTGTTCGGCACTCACTGACACAAGCATTAATCCATCTTTCCACGACCACACACTGCATGGATATTCATACCAGTACTATTTACATTCGCAAGTCACATCACAACCGTTCAAGCCTGACAGGTTACACTAACAAGCTGCACTCAACAGCTCCTTTTCTGACGCCGAAGAAAGGCTTGTGGTTATCACGGGAAATGGCTGCGCAGGGGTTCAGATCAGAACATACCAGCAGCTGCCTTATTTTGGGCTGCTCACAGCTGGCCTTCACAGTTGGAGGTAATGAATGGATGTTCTGAAAGCCACAGGGGCATGAAGTGAGCAGCGGATGCAGAGGAGGAGAAGGGATGGGGTGGGAAGGAACGGGAAGGGAAACAAGGATCTTCTATAAGCCATGGAAGGTAAAGGCTAAGCTTAGTAAGTATGGAAGGCTAGCCAAGAGGGGTAATGTCCAGAGGAACCAGGAGAAAGTACGTCGACTGTGTCAAACACATTATTCCAATTCCTCTGCTGCGAAGGCTATCCACACAAAAATACTCAGCACAGCACACTCCAGCACAAAAGAAAGCAAACCAGGTAAGCAAACCAGCACAGAATAAACCGCAATCCCGCCCCTTCACTCACCGAGAATCCCCTCGGCAGTGCCCCGTTTCCGCAGATCGACCGTGAACATGCGTGCCACAAGGTTCTTGGCGCCTTTTGAGACGTCTCAAAAGAAATCAAACCAGCATCCGCGAGAATCCCACTCCCCCCACTCACCGAGAATCCCCTCAGCTGTGACCCGTTTCCGCGGATCGACCGTGAGCATGCGCGCCACAAGGTCCTTGGCGTGAGCAGACACGGAGGGCCACGGGGGGAAGGAGAAGTTGAGGCGCCCCGCCTTGATGCTCTCATACACCCCATCCGTGGTGGGCGCCCAGAATGGCGGGCGGCCGCACAAAAGGATGTAGAGAATGACCCCCGCGCTCCAGATGTCCGCCTCGCACCCGTAGGATCGTTGGACTACCTCTGGCGCCATATAGAAAGGCGATCCGATGCGCTCGTTGAATTGCTCACCTGGGGTGGGGAGGGGGATGGGATGATTTGGATTGTTGTACGTTTGGAGAGAGGGCAGGGGGAGCAAGGGGTTCGTGGGAGGGTGAAATGGGAGGTCAGATCACCAGGAGGAGAACCGTGTCTTAGAAACAAAGATGGCAGGCAGGCAGCAGGAGGAGCAGGCAGACAGGCAACGTGAATGGGAACAAGGATCCCCAAAATACCAAAGGCAATGACTTCGAGCGAGACATCACAGTCTCTGTCGGGGTTGAGCAGGAGGAGTAATCGATTCATATCTCAACTGGAAATACGTTTCCAGGCGCCTCATAAAGCAGAAGCAGCAGGCGGCACACTCACCGGGAGAAAGCATCCCCGAGATGCCAAAGTCAATGACTTTGAGCGAGACGTCGCAGTGGGGGTTGAGCAGCAGGATGTTCTCGGGCTTGAGGTCGCGGTGCACGATGCCCAGGCGGTGGCAGTGCTGCACCACGCCCACCACCTCCGCCACCACCCGCGCTGCATTGCGCTCCGGGTAGAAGAGCCGCGCCTTCACGCGGTCGAACAGGTCCCCCCCCGCACACATCTCCATCACCATGTGCACGTCCTGGTGGGGGGAAAGGAGGGGGAGGGGAGAGGAGGAAGGTGGGGGAGTGAAGTGGGGAACACGTTAAGGCAATGCAGACTGGGTGGGTAGGAGGGAGAGAAGGGGAGCAAGGGAATAGCAGGCAGCAAGGAGGGTGTTTGAGTTCAGAATGGCGGTTGACATGAGACGGTTGACATGAGACGGTCGACAAGGTGGCACAGGGGGTGTATGCATGCGGAAGTGAGTGAATGCATCTTGGGTGGCAAGTGGAGCCTGCTTGCTTGGGATTGTTTGGGGTTGCTTGGTGCAAAGTAGCACCACATTCCATAGATGCTCCGGGTGAACAGGGTGAGTGGTGGACGCTTAAAAGTGTGATGGTCGACGAGTAGACATCATAGCCACAAAGAACACAGTGTGCTCTGTCTAGGAGCGCTAGGTACACGCCATGTGACAAGGGTAGGCAGGAGAACGGACGCAAGACGGATGAAGGATGGCATGAGAGAGGCAGGTAGCAGAAGGGTTGGTAGGAGGTGAGTGAGTGAGTGAGTGAGTGGAGGGGGAAGTACCTCGGCGTCTTCAAAGACGTGGAAGAGCTTGACAATGTTGGGATGGTCCTTGAGCATGCGCAGAATCTGCACCTCCCTCCGTAGGTCCTCCACATCCGCCTGACACTGCACCACCGCATGGCACATGGAGGCAAAAGAAGAAGAAGAAGAAGAAGAAGAAGAAGAAGCAGCAGCAGCAGCAGAAGCAGCAGCAGCAGCAGCAGCAGCAGCAGCACCAGCAGCAGGGAGGAGAATGTGAATAATGGGATAAAAAATGAATGAACGAGCAGGAGTAGGAACAAGGCACTGGTTAATAAGTAAAGAGGCCTTATTGGACGAGACTACAATGTTCACCCACTCCACTCCACTCCACTATCACCACATAAGAAAGCCAACTCACGCGCAGGTTCCTCTTGCTGACGGTTTTACACGCCGCCTTCTCCCTTGTCTCCCTGCTCTCGCACAGGCGAATACGCCCAAAACGCCCCTCCCCGAGCTCCTTCTTGTGCAGCAAGTACTTGCTCTTCACGTCCTCAAACGGCCCTCCCAGCACGTTCACACACAGCCCAAACACGCGCTCGTACAGGCTCGCGCTCTGCCGACCCTCTGGCGTGGACGCGTCGCCTTCCTCCGGACCTAGCCCTGCCGTTTGGTACACGGACTTGCTTCGGCGGTGCGTGCCCATGGATGCCTTGCCTGCTGTTGCTCCTGTCGCCGCTGCTCCTGCCGCTGCTGCCGCTGATCCTGTCACTGCTCCTGTGGCCCTGGCTGCTCTTCCTGTTGTAGGTGTGTCAGTGGTGTCGTTGCTGCTGCTGCCACTGGTAGCAGGGTTTCCGGATGTGAATGCGCGAGAGGGGTGATTCGGAGGGCTGGGAGTGCGAGATTTGGGTTGGGGGGAGGCGCGTGCCTCTCGCACCCCCTGCTGCTGAGGGGGAGACTGCTGCTGCTGCTGCTGTGGCGGCGACTGCTGCTGCTGCTGTGGTGGTGACTGTTGTTGCTGCATGGAGTGTTGCTGCTGTAGGTTTAGGAGGTCGGAAGGGGAAGGCACTGGCGAGAGAGAGGTAGCACGCGCCTTGCCCTTGTTCCTCCTCGTCGTTCTCTTGCCCCTCCAGCTGCCTTCAGCTGGATTCTCTGGAGAAACGGCAGCCAAAGAATCGGCACCAGCACCACGACCAGCAGGAGCAGCAGCGGAGGCGGTTGCATCAGCAAAGGAGGTAGCTTCCACAGCCATGTCAACGGGCACAGCAACAGGGAGGTGGGCAGCAAGGGAAGCCGCACTGACAGACGAGTGAGACATTATGACAGTCGCCACCGGCAGTGAGCTCTCTGTAAAGTCCATAACTGCAACTGGCTCCTGCTCCTGCTCCTCTTTTCCCGCTTTCCCCACTCTCCCCACTTTCCCCACTTTCTGAGTCGACTCAAAAATCACACCTTTCCTGCTGCTGCCGCCGCCGCCGCCACCACCTCCCCCTTCTACCCACTCCCCTAAGGCGCCACCATTCAGGCTGTCTCGAGAAAAGCCCCCCATGACTTTACTGCTGCCTCGAATATTAATATGAGTGCTACGTGTGCGTGCCACACCTCTACCCCGCTTCTCCCACCCTCCCCCTCCGCCTCCTTCCCCACCTCCTCCTGCTCCTGCACCCCTCCCATTCCCTGCTTCCTCCAACCACTCCTCCCCTCCCTCGGCCCCCCCATGCAAATTTCTCCCACCAGAATCCGCCGCAGATAGCCCAAGGCGCACGTGAGAGACTGATTTCGCCCGGCTATGCCGTCCGCCTGTCGACTCTGCTCTCCCTCCTGCCGATTCTGGCCGCACCTTTGGCTGCCATTCCTCCAGCACTGCACCTCCCACCCCTCTTCCCCTCCATCCCCCCCTCCCTCTCTCCTCTATCTCATCTATTGCCTCTTTTCCCGCTCCCTTTACCCCCTCCTCTCTCCACTCGTCAGTCCTCCCTTCCTTCCTATCCCTCACTCCCTCTCTATCCACCTCCTCCGTCCTCCTCCGATCAGAAACACCAGTCCTATTCGCCCCTTTGCTGCCTCTGCTCTTGCTACCCCCTTTCCTCGACCCCTTACCCTCCTCCTTTTCCCTCCACGCCTCTTGACTCACACCAGCACCACCACTCCCCAACCCTGCGTCTCTTCTCACACCCACACCCACACCCACGCCCACGCCCATGCCCACACCCATGCTCATGCTTCGCCTGACTCTCTGTTCGCGCCCAGCCGCAATGTCCCTCTCTGCTGCACCGCCACGCCTTCCCATCCGGTCGCTGTTCGCCCGCTCAAACAACCCCTCATCCTCCTCTCCCCACTCCTCCTCCTCCTCTTCCGGTTTGTTCCCGCCGCGGTTGTATGCCCACGCATCCCCATTCCCCATACCTTCCACCACACCCATCTCACCGCCTTCCCGATGCACCACAGGGTAAATGTCCCCAGGCTCACTTCCACTCACACTCACCCCTACTCGCTGCGCTCTCGCCCCTCTCCCACCTTCCCTCTTCCCCACGCTTGCGCTCCTCGCTTCTGCTGCCTCCCACCTCTCTCCCTCCGACTTCCGCCTCCCCCCAACTCCCTCGTCCCCTCCTTGCAGGGGTCGCCATGACACTCTCACTCCGCCTCTCGTACCTTCCTCGTTATTAGCTCTTCTCCTGGCCCCAACACCCACGGATCCACGACCAGTGCATACACCCTCTGATATACCACCATCCTTCTCCTCACCTTCCCAATTTCCAGCATTCTCTGCCTGCCCTACCTTATCCTCCTCCTCCTCATCCCACTCCTCCCCCTCCCCCCCACTCCTCCCCCTCCTGGCCATCAATAACATTCACACTCCCCTCCTCTCCCTCACTCTCCCTCTCCACCACACTCCCTTCCTCATCCTCCTCCTCCGAAGCACCCTCATCATTCCACACTCCCCCCTCACACTCGCCACTCTCCACGCCCATCCCTCCATGATCACCCCTCACACCAGCACCACCACCCGCACCTCCACCAGCACCACCAGCAGCAGGATCAGCAGCAGCAGCACCCGCAGCAGCACTTGACTCCTCCTGTGGGTCATTCTGAGACGCGTCACTGCTATCATCACCATCCAGCGTCAGCAGAGGGTGGGCATCGGAGCATGCGAGGGAGGCGAGGAACGGCAGGCACTCCAGCGACCGCCCCCTACTGCGAGCTGCTGCCTTTGCTGGAGATCGCATGAACCCGAACAGCCCTGACGCCACCGGGCTGGGGGAACGAGTAGCTGATTGCACTGCCCCTCCAGCACCAGAACTCCTCCCTGCTCCTGCTCCTGCTCCTGCTGCAGGCGATTCTTCCCCCGTCATCCGCCTTCTCACGCGCTCCCCACTTCTTGACCCTCTGCTTTCCACTGCTGCGACGTCCCTTGTCCCTCCAGACCTGCCTGCTCCTGCTGCCCCTCCTCCTTTGCTCGCAAGCAGCGGGCTCAACGAGCGGCTTTTCTCGGATGCAGGGGAGGGAGCAGCCAAAGGCCCTGTTGCTCCTGCTGCAGCGCCTCCTCCTGACACCCCTCCTGCTGTGCTTGCCCCACCCTCTCCATCTCCCCCATTCTCGGTTCTGGTACGACCAATCCCACCACTGCCATCCACAGCAGCAGCACCACCACCACCACCACCAGCAGCAGCAGCAGCAGCATGGGCAGCGGCGGCAGCGGCGGAGCTTTTGAGGCCAAGGGCGGAACGCCAGAAGGAGACGCGACCAGACTGAGCAGACCCTCCTGATCGATCCCCATCCACGCCTCCCTTCGCCTCCTTCTCCCTGCCCTCCCCTGCCCCATCCCTGTCCCCCGTCTTGCACTCCTCCACCCCCCCTCCGGCTCTCCCACCCTCGCCCTTCCTGCCACTCCCTCCTTGCTCTGGTGACGTCTGGGAGACCTCACTGGTACTACAAGCTCCGTTGCCTTGAGACGCAGCGTTGGTGGGTTCAATAGGGCTGGCAGGGCGGCTGGTAGCATCACAAGTGCCAGCGGGAGTGTCGGTGGCAGCGGCAGGGGCAGGGACAGGGACAGGGGCAGTGGCAGCAGCAACGGCGGCGGCGGCGGCGGCAGTGGCAGAGGCGCCAGAGCGGGAGGAGGAACGGGGCCACCTCCAGCGAACGGACGAGGACGCGGATGCCTTGCTGCTCCCGTCCTCAACCCCTCCACCACCTCCACCACCACCTCCACCACCTCCACCACCACCTCCTCCTCCTCCTCCTCCTCCTCCTCCTCCTCCTCCTCCTCCTCCTCCTCCTCCTCCTCCTCCTCCTCCTCCTCCTCCTCCTCCACTTCCTGCTGCTCCTACCCCTTTTGTTTTTTCGCACACAGCAGTCAATCCAGCGCCTGTTTCTGAGCCCTGGGCCGTACTGCTGCTGCTGGGGGAGGATTCAGGAACAAGCACACGCCTACCCATGCGACCACTTGTCACAGTTTCTGCTGCACCGCCTCCACCTGCTGCACCTGCTGTAGCTGCTGCACTGGCTGCAGCCGCTGCAGCCATGCCGGTGACACCACCACCGTGATTGCCACTGCTGCTGTTGCTGATCATGCTGCAACGAGCACCGTCACCACCATCACCATCACCAGCAGCTGCAGATCTCACACTTTCCTCCTCCTCCCTGCACCACTCCTCCACAACCTCCTCCTCCTCTTCTCCCTTATCCTGTCCCCTGCCATCCCTCGCACCTCCTCCCACCTCCCCTCCCCTCTCGTCCCCACTCCCCGCCCCTCGCCAGATCCCACCATCCCGTCCCTTCACGCCCTGAAACCGCACCTTGGGAGGCAAAGAGCTTCTGGATTGCACACCCCCCAGCCTCCGATCCTGCCCCTGTTCATGTTCCTGCGCGTGCCCCTGGAACTGCAGGTCTGGTCCTACTCTGAACCGCGTGTGGCGGCGGGGGTTCACCCGCCCTGCTGTCTGCGGTCGAGAGGGCTCCTCCAGGACTGCTTCTCTCAGGGACCGCCCTCGGTTTTGGATCAACGAGCGCGCCCGGCGCAAGTCGTCTGGGCACTGCTGCTCACCGCTGCTGCTCCACTCCTCGTCCTCCTCCTCCTCGTCCTCCTCCTCCTCCTCGTCCTCCTCCGCGCCACCTCCACCACCCTTCGCGTCTCCCTTTTTCTGCTCCGCACTCCTCCGCTTGATTTGGAAGGTAGGGGGGGCATCCACGTTCCATGCTAGGGATTTGGACCGCACATGCTGCTGTGGCCGCGGCAGCGGCTGCTGCTGCTGCTGCTGCTTCTGCTTCTGCAGGAGCTGCAAACGCTGGTTGGTTCTCCCCTCATCTCTCCTCATCCATTGCTGCTCGCTTGCACCCTCCAACTCCGACTGGCCTCCACGCTGCCTCCCTTCTCCCCTCCAACTGTCCCCTCCACCCCCTCCATCCCCACCTCCACTCACACTAGCCCTCGCTCCTTCTCCCTCTCCCTCTCCCCATCCCTCTCCTCCTCCCCCGCTGTCCACCTTCGCGAGAACCCCTTTGCCAAGGCTATGGCTGCGCCTCACTCTGCCTTTGCTTCGGCCTAGCTGTGCCCACTGACTCTCCACTCCACTGCTCGGGTCCAACATCAGAACACCACCAGCACCGCCACTAACACCACCACCAGCACCCCCATTAGCACCGCCACCAGGGCTGAAAGTACCACTGCCGGCTCTCACGCTGCGGCTGCTGTTGCCAACGAGCTCCGTGCAGCCATCACTGCTCCTAGACAGCCATAACGACACCACCTCATCCCTCTCCGACTTACAACCCTTCTCCCTCTCCCTATCACTTTCACTCCCTTTCTCCCGACCTGACACAGAGCCACCCCGTGCGCGAATCCCACCGGGCCTCGCTCCTCCGCCCCCAGGGCTCCTGGTGCTGCTGCTGTTGCCGTCACTCTCGCCCTCCACCACCCACCGCACACGCGACTTCTGTCGGTACGAGTCCACTACCCCAATAGGAACCTCCCGTGCCCCCTCTCCCGCACCCTCTCCCTCTGCCGCCTCTGCCTGCATTGCTGCCCCACCGTCCTCCTCCTCTTCCTCCTCCTTCTCCTCCCCGCCGATATCCCCCCCTTCTTCCGCGTGCCCCTGCGCGCTCGCCAGCCACTGCATCACGTGCTGCAGCTTGCCCTCCCCCCCCGCGACAGCTGCGCCCATGCTGCGCGCATGCGCCAACCTGCTTCTTTCTTGCGCCACCTCCGCCCCCGCCTGCTTCTGCCATTCCTGCAGCTGCAGCTTCTGCTGCTCTTGCTGCTCCTTGTGCTGCACTGGTAACCGTGTCTGCCTGCCGCCCTGCTGCTGCTGCTGCTGCATCATTTCCTCAACCAGTTCTTGCTCCAAAGACAGACCCCTCAGCTCCGCACTACACGCAATGCTTCCGCTTCTTCCATGCCGCCTCGCTACCTGCCCACGTCCCATCCCCTCTGCCCCCCTCCGCTCGTGCCTCCGCACTTTCCCCTGATCTTGCCGCTCGTCCCGCCACCTCTCTACTTGCCCTTTTCCGACCCGCTCCCTATTCCCCTCCCAATACGCTCCACGCCCCCATGCCTCCTCCGTGTTATACCCCGCCCCGCGGCTTTTCCCCGTTGAACGCTCCTCCCCGACTGCGCGACCTTCCCCAGTACGCGGACGCCTCCCCCCTCGCCGCTCTTCCCCCCATCCTTTGCTTCCGCCAACAAACTCCCCCTCCCCCGCTTCCCCCCTGTCCAGCCCTCTCCCCCCGTGCAGTGGGGCGTGTCCGGAGTGGTACGAGCGGAGGGGGGGGAGAGAAGCGGAAGGTCCATAGGACACGTGGCAGGAGGCGGAAGCGCCATCCGCGGGGCCTAGGGGAGGCTCAGCATTCGAATCGCTATTGGCGGGAACACCTATCCTCCGTGCTACGGTCAACGGGAGGGAACGAGCGGATTTGTAGCGATGCTGCTGCTGATTTAGATGCGTGCTCGTGCCTTCGCTGTCGTCGTATTGCTCCTCCCCTGCCTCCTCCTCTTCCTCCTCCCAATCCGCAGCCTCGTCCCAATCCCCCATTCCCCGTCCCCCCTTTGCTCCTGCGCTCACCGCGCTCGGCGCGTTGGTTCCCCCCTTTCTACGTCCCCCCGCCATCCCGCGTTTCCCTGGCATTGGTTCTTCGTCCACCCTATCGAAGACTGCCACGTCATATAGGTCCTCCTCCGTTCCCCGCCGTACGTCCACCGACACATACCTGCGGTGCTTTCCCAGACCTATTCCCGAACCAGTCGCAGTATTTCCCGAGCCTGGCCCCACGCGTCTACCCGATCCAGCCTTCTCCGCCGCGCCCCATAAAACATTGTGCTCCGCCATTTCGCCCCCCATGCTCCCTACCCCCTCCGCGACCTCCCGCTCTTGCTCTGTCCCCCGATTTCCGCCAGAATTTCGCGCATTTCCCGCGGAAGCTACCTGGTCCCCGAGCCTAAAAGGCGAAGGATCGACACGCGCGTCGATCCAATCGAGGTCCAGGTGTTTCGGTTCGGCGTGCGACGGATCTTGAATGAGCACCAGCGACATGGAATTCGTGCGCATGCGGGATGATGATGGTGACGATGATGATAATGCAAATGAAGAGAATTCTCCGGCGTTCCCGCTCGTGCCGCTGCTTATACGCGTGGAGTTTGTCGCTGCTGCAGTAGCGCGCATAACCTTCGGAACGTCGGTGGCTGGTGGCGCCAAGTAAAGAAGTCAGGTCGCGCGCTTTATAACCGTTCCAGTTTCCAACGAAGATAAAACCCCTCGGCGAGCCCTCGGGGTTGCGGCTACCGTTAGCACTAATTGGTAAGTGACTCGACAAAGATAGCGTACGGCTCGTCTAGAATTAAAACGTTAATGTCCAAAGTCTAGGTGGAATGAGTCGCAGCGCACAAATTCCAAGCGATGAGTTGGAACTGCGAACCATATGTACCGTACGTGTCCTCCAAACGACACATACAGTGCGAAAAATCATACCTTATACGAGCGGGGGGGTGACTTGGCGGTAGGTTGTGGTGGGAGCAAACTAGTCGCTTAGAAGACGGACCCAGTAGAGATGGTGTTTCAAGGCCGTCGAGCTTGCTTTGAGATTCACGCACAGATGGATAAATAGGCGACACGTTCCATTATTCAGGACGGTAACCTCGAAGCACGTGATCCACATCGCTCGGGTCGAGGATTTATGCTTCCGTTCTTTTGATGGCTAAGGGCGACGTCAGGTTGTACTACTTTTTATACGTCCACTGCGGTTAACTTCGTTTCAACACGGTGCAGAGAGGTAAACTTCAAGAACCACTTCTCACCGTCGTAGAACGTCCTGAACCATGATACAAGAACTATAAACGCCTGAGAAATGTAGAACCTGACGTCGCCCAAAAGCATGTGAAGCAGCATATGCATCACATTCTACCTCAGCACGACGTTTCAGCAGGAGGCCACCTTGCCTGACAGAGCATATCGAATGGCTCGGGGAGACGCCATGGACAAGCAAAGATTGAACCACGGGGTCCCCCTCACCTCACCTCGAGGTGGCAATTTCTGGTAGACTGTGGTTGTCTTGTCTCCCTCGTGCACCTTCCTGTAACTTCCTTCGCCTGCGTACTCCTCCCCTATGATCATCCCATCCCAATGCCAGCCCAACCCAACCAGCCTGTTCTGTTCCCAATAATCACGCCAAAAGTGTCTGTCTGTTTGTACACAGTTCTATACTGTACATCGCTCAAAAAGATGCATGCGGCGGGCAGGGCGGAACAATTGCACTCTCAAGTTTCCAATTCGCAGGTCAGTTCTGCTTGCTCTGAGGGGTAAGGGAGAATCTACCCAGTGTTATGACAGCGAATCTCCTCGCCACTACATCACAGTCGCTGGCGCCCTAAACATCGCGAGAGAGACCATAGGGACAGACAGCAGGACCAACAAAGATGGATGGGATGTGGTTAAATCTGACTTCGTCCTACGGCTGAAAGACGAGGACGGGAGCAACAGCACCAACGTCCTACTGTAGTGTACAAGGTTCAGGAGGACCCCACGAAAAATGCCACCCATTCTGACAAGTGGTCCACGGTCCACCTTCACGTTGTTCCAGGTGGGTAGCCTGACGTTGATTTGATATCTGTTCCTAAATTGCCCAGAGCACTTGTTTCTTACAGCAATCCAAGCATACGGAAACAAGTTGAGACACAACGCAACCTCAGACAGGGCGTGTCCCACGAGTTCGTTTACAGTTCATGTTCATGTTTGTGACCCTATTTCGCGCTTGTAACCCTCTACTGTATACATGCGTCTTAAATGACGCACGACAATTGACGCATTTCCCACGTCGACCTGTTCGTTTTGAACGCGTTTAGAAAGAGAACCTACGTACGTGCGATCACCTCGAACGGGTCCGCGTGAGGGGTTACCGTAAACTCCGAATTCGCCCAAACCATGGTCTCGCGAAAAAAACAAACGTCGCCAGGGGTACCGAGTCTCGCCCCAGCACCAAAATTCCACGCGAATCACATCCGCCATACTCAACAATCGATTCGCAACTGGGGCGGGTTACCGCTCGCGGATTCTGTCAATTCTGAATCGCATGACGTTTTTTGTGTGGGCGGGACTATGCGTCCGCCTGGTGCAATTCCGTTTTGCTCGGTGCTGACACATTCCGTTTTTTTTTCGTCAGAGTGTACACTCTTTTGCTGACTCGCAGTTTACGTAAAAAATAAGGATTTTCCCCAAAACGAACTCATGGGACACGCCCTTAGCCTAACTTCTCCACTTGTAGTGAAAGACGCAATACACAATACACCCTCTCGCTGTTAAGATCACACCATCTCGGATCAATCTCTAATTCACAATTCTCTGTAGTAACGATGCACGGAACAGACTTTTGGCGGTTACACATTTTGTTGATTCGTGTAAGGTGTTGCACCGAGCTGTGCAACGTCAAACACATAAAGGCCACACAGACAGCTTACTCTACAATTTTAACGATATGAATTTGTTCAAACTATTTCTTGCAATCGAAATGACGACTAGACGAAAGTAAGAAAACGCATTCTAGGGCCAGCTATGACAATGGCAGACGCATTTTTCTTTCAAGAAAAAACGGGCGATATGGTCACGTGCTTTACGCGGGAAACTCATTGTCCATACATAACTTAAATTAAAATACCGACTCACTTATATAAAACATAACGTTATGAAATCGTCTTGGACGTTTATAATAAAGCACTCACGAGTTAATGGCAACTGCAAACCACAAGATACCCACAAAACATTCCTCCCCCACAAACAAAAATGTTGGACAGTCAACAACCAAATCAGAACGGATGAGTCACAAATACTTGTTAGAATATATATTGTTTTTATAAAATTGCATGTATAGCTCGTAGTGTAGGGCCTTGGTGGTTTACCCCCCTTTGCCGCATTTCCTATATCTTGTACCTCTCTCCATATTGCAAACCCCCTTTTTTTGCCAAACGTCTCTCTAATCCTAATTGCTTTGGTTCCTAAGCTATAGCACCTAGCTTGTCATGGTATTCAGAGCAGGTCTAGGACATACTTTCTTTTAAGGAACATGGGCCCGCCCATGCTGCAGCGCGAAATGCGCTTCTTTTTTTTTCCGTCCGTCCGTCCGGGCCGGTTGCGTCATGTCCGTCGCGCACGTTTCGGGGTACAGGCTACTCACACCTGCCACCCCCACATCTCCCCCTCCCCCCTTCCCACAGCGGAAGCCGCGGAAGGGAGGGCGGGGTGGAGGGGGGAGAGGTTAAGGGGGTGGTAGGTGTGAGCAACCTGCAGCCCATCCCTCCCCTCCCTCTTCCTCTCTCCTTACAGCACTTGTTGCTGTGGGTGGGGGGAGAGAGGTTAAGGGGGGAGGACAGAAAGGTTAAGGGGGTGGAGAAAAAGAGAGACGGAGAACTCTGGGTGTTTCATGTCGTTTCTCATTCAGTTTCTATCGTCGTCTCTGGGCGTTGTCGCCCTTCGTCGCGCTCACCGGGCATCCACTGCGGGGGGGAAAAAACAAGCAGGCATCCTACCGAAGGGCCTCGCTGCGGCACGGTGATTGATGCGCTCCCTACACCAACTAGTTTGCATGCAATTAAGGGGGGGTGTTACAATATATATTTGTGAAGATAGTAGGTAGAGTTAGGAGCCATAGCTAGGTAAGTCCTAGCTAGGCAAGAAACAGTTTAGGCAAAAGAGAGAAGGTTCACTAGCAGCAATGAGGATACATATAGCAAACCCTAGATGGGTTGTACTCGCTATAGAGCACCCCACTACAGGCTAGAGAATAACATTCTGACACACCCCCATAGCCAAAGTGGGGTGTAATCAGTACAATGAGCAAGCAGGTATAGAGCAGGAGTTCACAGAGGTAAGCAAAGCTAGAGCTAATCACAGCGGGCAAGTGAGGAGGAGGAGGAGCTGTGGAGGTAGAGAAGATGGGAGGCAACGACTGAAGCTGCAGAGGCACGGGCACAGGAGCGGCTGACTCTGAGGCTACCGAAGCAAGGGCGACGGACTACTGGAGTAACTGGCTCGGCGGCTATAGAAGAGCGGCAGGAGCAACGGACCCACTGGCGACTGGTGCAGCAGGCTCACTGGCTACCGAAGCAAGGGCGACGGACTACAGGCGCTGCAGGCGACACGACAGGTACCTCCACACAACCTCCTCCAACTGCCCCACACCCTCGACACACACCCACTGCTCAAACCCTAGCTCCACTCCCACGCACCCCCCTAAAACCCTAAACCCCAGTCTCCCACTCATCCACCCCCCTCAGCGACAGCTGCAGCAGTGGGAGACAAAGGAGGAGGAGGAGAAGGGCACGGCGCGCACAACGGACACCCCCACAACCACCACCCCCACACTCCTCACCCCCAAACCCTAAAACGGGTGGGATAGAGGCAGGAGCGCGGGGGACGGAGAGGGGGGGGAAGGCGCGCGCCTCTAGGGCGCCAGAACGGACGGGTGGGGCGAGGGAAGGGGCGTGGCGCGCGCTGCTCCCCTGGGCGCCGCGACGGACGGGCGGGGGGGACGCGCGCGCGGCTCCCCAGGGCGCCGCGACGGCCTGGCGGGGCGCGCGCGGCCTCCCGAGGGCGCCGCGACGAGCTGACGGGGCGCGCGCGGCCTCCCCTGGGCGTCGCGACGACCACGCAGGGCGCCCGCTGGCTCCCCAGTGCGTCGAGACCGACGGGCGGGGCGCTCGCGGGCTCCCGAGGGCGTCGCGACGGACGGACGGGGGGCTCGCGGGCTCCCCAGCGCGCCGTGACGGGCAGGGTGGGGGGCCGCGCGTGCTCCCCAGGGCTCCGCGACGGACGGGCGGGGCGCGCGCTGGCTCCCCCACAGCAGTAAACCGCCGCGCGCCTCGGGGCGCACGGCGGGCAGAAAACAGCCGCGCGCCCCGAGCGCGCGGCGGGATGAAAAATAAGAGGCCGCGCACCACGGGGCGCGCGACACAGCGTAGGGCAGCGGAAGCAGTAGGAGGGCCCACAGGCCAGGAGCGTATGTGCTCTGATTCCATGTGAAGATAGTAGGTAGAGTTAGGAGCCATAGCTAGGTAAGTCCTAGCTAGGCAAGAAACAGTTTAGGCAAAAGAGAGAAGGTTCACTAGCAGCAATGAGGATACATATAGCAAACCCTAGATGGGTTGTACTCGCTATAAAGCACCCCACTACAGGCTAGAGAATAACATTCTGACAATATTATTTTTATATAATTGCATGTATAGCTAGTAGTGTAGGGCCATGGCGGTTTCCCCCTTTGCCACCTTTCCTATATCTTGCACCTGCGGAGATTAACTCTACAACGGTAGTGAGCTAGACTACGGGGGTTGGTACAAACTACTAGAGGTGATCGTAGCTTTGCCTAGTTCCTTGGTGCTTGCACAATCGCGGGAGAAATCGGCAAGAGTTTCCACTAGCAAGGTTGGAATTGCAGAATGATTGAACAAGAGATGGCAACAATGACTACATCAGGCACCTAGCAACCCTGCAGCTAGCCTGGTCGACCGCCAGCACAGCTCGGTCGACCGCCTACCAGCGTTGCGTAGAGGAGCCGCGCCAGCACTGTAGAAGGGCGATCTGCCAACAGAGCAGGTCGACGGCGTGCCAACGCTGCAGCAGAGCGGCTGTCCAGCGTTGCCCCGTAGAACACAGCAGTGCGCACGCTCGCAGGTGCGCGCAGACGATTGGCCCGACTTGCCTCGTTGGGCATCCGTCGGCTGTTGTCTGCGCCTGGCGAGCCACATCGACTTCGGGATACCAGCCCGAAGTCGCCTGCGCCATTACGACCTTGACGACGTTCGCGTGCCTCCGCAGAACTCGTCGAGCAGGTTATCCGGTCAACCTGGTCGACCCCCAGATGCTCTGGTCGACCCCCAGGTGCCTTCGGTCGACCACCGAGTCCCTCTGGTCGACCACCGGGTCCCTCTGGTCGACCACCGGGTGCCTCTGGTCGACCACCGGGTGCCTCTGGTCGACCACGACTCTCGTCGAGCTACCCCCTGGTCGACGGACCCCTTCCGTCGACCAGAACCGTCAGCGGTTGTCGCCAAGCTCCCCTCGTCGACTGCTGCTCACTTGTCAGGTCGACAGACTGCTCCGTCGACCTCCCGGTCGAACTGCAGGTCGACAGACTGCTCCCGGCCGAGCTGCAGATTGACGGACTGCTCCCGGACGAGCTGCAGGTCGACGGAGACCCCCTGGTCGAGCTGCAGGTCGACGGAGACCCCCTAGTTGAGCTGCAGGTCGACGGAGGCCTCCCGGTCGAACTGCCCCTCCTGGTCGACAGCCCACCCGTAGCCCAAACCAGTCAGTTGCAGGTGTCAAGCTCCCTGGTCGCCAGCAGCACCACAGCGGTCCCCTTCAGCTCGACGATGCCTGTCGACCAGCTCTCCCGTTGTGAACGGCCAGCTGCTACTCCCGTACATCCGACCAAGTCGTCGGCGTTGCCCAAGCGAGGGCGGGGCCAACAATCCATTCCTGTTAACAGCACCTCTCTCCATTTTGCAAACCCTTTTCTTCGGCCAAACCTCTCTCTAGTCCTAACTGCTATGGTTCCTAAGCTACAGCATCTATCTTCACAATACCTCCCCTGCGGAGAGTCGCTCTTTAACAGGAGTAGACTATATGGGAGGACACGGGTTGTACGGGTGATCGTAGCGTTGCCTACCACTTGTGCAGGTTTGTTATGCTCGGACGTGCAATTGACAAGAGCTTCACTAGCAAAAGTTATAAGTATAGACACACAATGGCGTTATGAAGTCGATATATCGGGAATGTAATGCACCTAGCAACCTAGCAAGTCGGCCATCAGCGCAGCTTAAAGGCAGCTTGCCGATGCCGCAAGGTGGTGGCATGCCAACGCAGCTGGAAGTCGGCTTCCCAACGCTGCAGGATAGCGGCCTGCCAGCGTTGCACCAGGGTGGCTTGCCAGCATCGCAACCGCAGGCGACCACGAGCACACATGTGGGCACCAACCAAGTAGGTTGCGCCACGTCGTAAATCATCGTGCATATTGCGCATGTGCCATGTCGTCAAGCACGTGATGCTCGACCCGCAGGCCGATTTTGTCAAAATCGCCTGGGATGGAATTCGTGCACCCCTGCAAAATCTCACCGACCGATTATCTGGTCTACAAGAATAAGGCTCCTCAACCGATGCCGACGACTCCCGTTGGCTCGTAGGTCAGCGCCATGTCGACGATCTGCCAAGGCCTGGCGCCGTCCACCGACGTCGCTTCGACAGCGTCGCCTTGGCCGGCTTCGCCATTGTATACTTCGCTGTGGACGGCATCGTTAAAATCGGCTCCACTAAAGACGGGTCCGCTAAAGTCGGCGTCGTGGCCAGCTTCGCCGAGGTCCGCTTATTGATTCTGCTGATGTACTCATTCAATTTGGCGCCGTCCAAGAAGTGTAGCCGGATGCACACCTTGCACATCGTGCAACGAAGTCGGCTTTCCCTAAGCGTAGGCGGGACCTTTTTTTCGTCAACACAGTGTGGTGGGGAAATCACATTTTTTTCCCTTGAGCAGATTATGGCGACGCCAAAGATTACGGCATACAAAAAAAGCAACAATTCGTTATCTTGAGTTGTCGAGGAAGAACATAAAAGTGCATTTAACGTGCCGAAATGCATCGTTATCGTCACCTTAATTCATACCGAAAAAAAAAAAAAAAAAAATCCCGTTGGACACTTGGGGAAACAAAAAAGGGAAAGGAGCGAGCTGTCACTGCCCCGTTCCGATCCAAGACAAACTTGCTGGAAATGGGAGCTGGTACACGTTTCTCCAAAGTGAACTTCCGTCGCGGCTCGCGCACTGGGATCACGACACAATGTCGCTGGAAGGGATCATACGAAGACAGCAGTACCATATCCATTTACCAACCGATATGGTCTAGGGCATCCGCACAACTTTCCGTCTTGGTACAACATTGCCGATGAAATATTTGGTGGGCGCCGCGTTACAGTGTTATTATAGGAACCAATATGGTGGTGTATCTTTGATGATGAATACCGCGCCAAATGCACAAACGGCAGGTGCGGCATCAACGCCCGCAACATCGGCCCCGACACCACAGCTAACATGCCCTTCTCAGCCATGCCATTGACAACGAATTATCATTATCCGACACCATCAGTTGCACGACTCCGCATCCCAATTACCGGGAGACCGAATTCCCCAATGCCTAATCCCTAGATATTGATACCGTCTCCCTCCCGCTTGCTAACACTGATATTTTTGTGGCCTATCACGCCCTTAGCCCTTGAGACCATATATCCCTCGCACGAAACGAGGACGGAACTTCCAACATATATCGTACGATGGCGAGAGTCTGGATGCAAAGAGGTTGACTTGCATAAGGGGGCGCGCCATGCGACTGACGTATTGAAGGGGCGGGCCATGCGACAGACATTTACCTAGCCATTATAATTGTTTTTTCCAAGCATTCCGATGTAGTTTCAATCGCTTGTCAGGGCAGAGGCGCAGACTGAAAAAGGATAATTTTATAATTGATAGGGCATAAAATACGGATGGCTGCTATGTTTGTCTGAAAGGCCTCATCAACAGTGCTGTATATGCTTTACTGGTGGTTTACTGAAATGTTTTTTGTTTGAAGTAGTGTTTCTAATAATGAGTGTGCCGTACAAGGTTTATGATATGAAGAAAAGTTTCTCATTTGCACCATCCCCGTTTGCCAATCTCGAGGTTGGCCGATGTAGGGCCTTTGAACAGTCCACTTCCAACAAATCTCACCCTCAACGCCGAAGCTGTCGTGCCGAGCGTAGTCTCGCGCCTATTCCCTTGCCCGAAGCAGAGTTTCAGATTACGACGAGGAACCGCTTCCCTGTCAACCGCATGGCGTCAGGTCAGGCTTGAGACCCTAGTGGGCCACGTGTACTCGTTCGGCACGTTTGGTTTCTCAACAAGCCAAGGCAGGCCTCAGGTCCGGTAACCCTCACAGGAACATTTAGGTCAGGGACCAGCGTGACAGGTAAAATCTTGGCTGGGGTTTAGAGAACTCCTTTCTAGCAGCAGCCTTCCTCCCCTACCTCTTTTGTTCTTACCCTACCTCTTCCCCTTCACTCCCCAACTGCTTTCTTTGTTCCCCCTCACACTCCAGAACACGCCACTAACCCTGTTTCCCTCCATCCATACCCTAGTTCTTGAGATCTAGCAACAAGCTCCGTCAGCCTTGTGACACCGGTTCAGAGCCATGTCCCGATCAGTTTCACAGACGTCCCGGCCAGTCGGCCGAGGGCTAGGAAGTACAAGCGTCATGATTCCGCCAAGTGCTAAAAAGATCGTGCAAGAATTGAAGGAAATCGTGTCAAACACGGAAGAGGAAATTTATGCAGCGTTGAAAGAGTGCAATATGGATCCGAACGAGGCTGCTCAGAGGTTGTTGAATCAAGGTTTGTGCTGACTTGCGCTTCGCGTTTTGTGATTCATACTTGTCCAAGGGCCAAATTCGTCGTTTTGTGAGCTCCCAGATATCCTAGCTCTTAGATCCGCCACGAATCTGAATCATTTTTTCACTTTCTTTGTGCTTATTGCGTGGATGCATCAGATCCCTTTCATGAAGTGAGGCGGAAGAAGGGGAAGAAGAAAGAGGTAATTTGCATCTATCAACAACGTTTTATCAGATCGTCAACCTGTCGTGAAATCAAGTCGACACCTCATTCCAGACTTAGCTGTTATAGGTTTCGAACCGTCCATGCCTGTCGGTCATGGTTCTCACACATGTGAACACACTACTGTTCTGTCGTACATGAATCCGCAGGACGGTGGCGAGGTCAGAATTAGGGGTGGAGCTGGAAGAGGCGGGGGTAGAGGAGGCGGCGGAGCAGATCGCGGCTCTAACCGCCCAGGTACGAGGCTCTAGTCCTTGCCAGTTTTTCGTTTCTAGTGTTTACCTTTGTTAACTCCTCGAAGCTTAGCTCGTCGACCGACAACTTTCTTTCTCCCTCTCTGCACCGTGCATGCCTCAAGGTTTGAAGCTCCTGATTTTATACGTTCCTGTTGAACGAAGCCTAGACCTCCAGGTTCTGATTTTGCTCTTTCCAACTGCCCGTGTATTCTCACACTCATGACAGACTATGGCGGTGGGCGAGGACGGCCGATGCCGCAACGAGAAAACGGGATTCATCCCAGTTCTAGACCTGGCGGGGCAGGGGCCCCAGGCGGGCCTGGTTACATTCCCGTGGTTGGGGCCCCGGCTCCAGGATACGGCGGAGCTCCTGTTGGTGCACCGGGAGGGTTTTCCGGCTATCCTCAGCAAAGGGGCCCCGTTCTGGGAGTCGCAGCACCAAGGTGGGCTTCTGCGGTTTTTGGCGGCCCGCTGGCTTTTTATCTTGTCGCGTTTTGACCGATCACTCCGTCTCGTTACCTTCTGTGAGAAGGTTAGCTCGTCGGTTGACATACGATTGTTATCTCTTGCACGTTCTTGCGATTGCAGTGGTGGGGGAGCATACGTCACCGGCGTACCTGGCACTGCACCGGGCCAGCCTGTTTCGGCTGGTGTGGGTGCGAATCAACCTACAAGGTTCGTTTTGTCTCGTCCCTGGTTAACTTTTTGGCTTGTTTGGTTGGCATGTTTCAAGAATTATAGATCTTCTTCCGCCCTAGCTGTCGTCTTGCTGCCCCTTTTTTTTCTGGCCCGATCTGTCGTGCGTTTTACTACCTCAATAGAATCTCATCTCCACTGAATCTGTCGTTTTCGTGCCGCCATCCATTTCGCGTTTGCTCCCCTCCTGACAGCCTACCTGGTCAGCCTGCCCCTGCGGGAGGCTCGCTCTACTCTCGTCCTGGCGGAGCCTCGCTGTGGGGCGGCGGCGGAACGACTATGGCGGATATGCTCAAGTCCTCCGCCGCCGCGCAGCAAGCACAGCAAGCTCCGCCTCCGCCGGCACCCGCGCCGGCCCCGACCTTGCAGGCGCACGCGCCCATTCCCCAGCCAGCCGCACCCGTTGTTACTGGTCCCCCCGCACCCACTCCGTATCTCGCGGCAACCATGGCGTCAGCCGTTACGGCGCCGAGTTTGTACTCGTCTGCAGCAGATCCGGTACTGCATCCGCAGAGTAAGAGAGACGTGGGCACAGTAGGCCCGCAGAGGCCAATCGGGGAGCGACTGCCGCCGGCGAGCGTGGCTGCTGAAGTGGCTGATGGTAGCGACGCTGCTGCCACCCAACTGCCGGGAGTTGCTCTGGTGGTAGAGCAGCAGCAGCAGCAGCCCGATTCTAGCGCGGCTCAGGTTTCTGTGAGCGATGCGGCAGACGCTGTTCCGGCTGCTGGCACGGGCCTGCAGGCGCAGCAGCAGGTGGCTGAGCAGCCGCCGCCGCAGCAGCAGCAGTCTGTTCTTGGATCGATTGGCACTCCCGCTGCTGCTGCAGCCGACGTCGTGGCGGTTACTCCCGCGCAGGAACCGGAGGCAGCTGTTGCGGCTCCAGGTATCGCCTTGGCCCCTGACTTAGAAATCACGTGGAACGTGAATTTGTCGTTTTAGATGCCCGTGTCCCCCTCACCGGTACCGGTTCCTACATTCATAGTGTTTTCGTGTCCCCCGTGTGCCTGTGTGTGTCTTTTTTCCTGTCGCCCGTGTCTAAATGTTTCCGTTCAGAGGACCGGTCAAGCGTGGCGGCAGCAGCAAGCAAGCTGCAGAGTCTGGGCCTGCAGGACGACAAGCCTGTCATCATTCCCGGGCATCTGCGCGTTCCCGAGGCTGATCAGACGCGCCTCAGCTTCGGCAGCTTCGGAGCTGGGTTCGGCACGTCTTTCGGGACCGGCTTTGGCGCGGACGCGCTGTCCGCCAGCAAGGCCGGTGACGCTGTCGGTTCGTCAAGGTCAGTAGTTTGTTTCCTTTTTTCTTCATCGTTGTTTTCCTCTGCTACTTATGTTCCACTGATCTCGTTGTTTGCCAGCTTTCGAGGCCGTTACACTAGCGGTTACCTAATTCTTGTTTAGAATCCCTGTCTTTCCCTTTTCTGCCCCGTTTCCCTCCTTGCCACTGCCCGTACCCCTCTCTTCCTGTTTCTCTCCCCCTCTCCGCACGCGCGTGACCACCTTTACGTACTCTCCCTCCGCTCCGACCAGTCTACTTTCGCAGCCTGCTGCTGCGCAAGCGACGGAGCAGCAAGAGCCGGAGCAGGAGAAGGAGCAGGAGCAGGAGCAGGAGCAGGAGGCGAAAGAGGAGCACGCTCCGATCGTGGACGTCGAGCCGGTGGAGCCCCCCAAGCAGGAGGAGGATCTGCCTGTCCCGCAGCAGCAGGCGCAGGCGAAGGAGGAGCAGGCGCAGGCGGGTGTGGCGGAGTCGCTCCCGAGCCAGCAGGCGGAGGCGGCAGCCTTTGCTGCCCAGGCTGCGGCTGCCGCGGCGGCGGCGGCGGCGCAGCAGGCGCCAGCAGCTGCTGCTCAGCCGATGTTGCAGGAGGCGCAGGCTCCTGTGGTTGCCGCCCAGCAGCCGCAGCAGCAGCAGCAGGTGGCGCAGCAGGTAGCTTCGCAGCAGCAGCAGCAGCCGTTGGCGGAACAGACCCAAGCTCAGCAGGCGATCGCCCCTCAAGTTCCGCTTGTCCAGCAGCAACAGCCAGCTCAGGTGCAGCAGCAGCCGCAGCAGCAGGCGCAGAGTCAGCTGTCGCAGCAGCAGCAGCTGCAGCAACTGTCGCAGCAGCAGCAGCAGCAGCAGCAGCAGGCGCAACAGGCGCAACAGCAGCAGCCGCAGCAGCAGCAGCAGCAGCCTTCCGCGTATCCGTATGTGCCTGCGCTTCAGAACTATCCCGCGTTTGGCCTGGTCCCGCAGATGCCCGCGGGGCAATATCCTGCATACGACGCGTCAGAGCCACAAGTCGCAGGAGACATTTCCCGCTTTACGTCCGTGGGACTGGTAAGCATGCCAGTCTTCCCTTGAGCGCCGATCACACGATTTCCTTCGCCTTCCCCCTCACGCACCCCGCTCAGTGTATTTTTATTCGTTCGTATTTCTTCGCTGGCGCTGATTTTCTGTTTGGAGCTCCCTGATTTTCTTTTCGCACTTCTTCCCGCACGCCATTTCCTGCCTCCTGCGTCAGGTTTTTTGCCCCTTATACCTCCCTGTATCGCCATTCCCTGTACTGTTGTGGTCTCCCCCGATCTCGTTCCCGCAGCAGCAGTACAGTGACCCGCCTGGCAGCTACTACTCGCCCGCGTTCAGGCCCAGTGGCGATGGCGAAATGCGTTACTCTCCGTTCGTGACTTCGTCGGGATCTGCTCTGGGTGCCAAATACGGGACGGCAGGTGCAGTGCAGGGACTGCCTTCTCAAGAGGTAAGCTGGGCAGTTCGGACGTGCTCACTGGTGCGTGGGTGTATGTGTGTGTGGGTGTGAGGGTTGTGAAGGAGGATGTGGTGATATGGAAGACATGGTATGGGGAGCTGAAAGGGAGAGATGTGGTTGTGTGTGGGTTTGGAAGGTGTAACCGAACAATCTCACATGCGCTATGCTAAACTCAGCACACGCAGTGCGCTCACTGGGGTGTAACCTGTTCCATTTCACGAAAAGTTCAACTCGAAAATGTGTAGGTCGTCGTTACCCTGGTGTGCTTCTTCCGTCTCATCTGTGACAATTGTCGTGCCTCATGTGGCCCTATTACCCTGCCCTGCCTTCCTTGTTCCCCGTGAGGGTGTGCAGACATCGAGCAGCTTGGGCATTGTGGGTGCTCCTTCCATGGGACAGGCCTCCTCGCACTCCGCTGGGCTCTCCCAGCAGCAGGCTCAGCAGCAGCAGCCCCAGGCACAGCAGCAGCAGCAGCAGCCGCAGCAGCAGCAGCAGCCTCAGCAGCAGTCGCAGCAGCAGCCGCAGCAGGGGCAGCCGCAGCAGGGGCAGCAGCAGCAACAGCAACAGCAGCAGCAGCAGCAGCAGCCTGTTCCCATGCACGCAGCGGCTGCAGCTGCGTATGCGGCCCAGCCAGCAGGCATCCCCATGGGGGCGCATTACGGGATCAACTATGCAGGCTATGCGCAGTATGCTGTGCCGCCCAATTACTACACCATGCACTCGCCCTACACTCACCCCAGCTACGCAACCCCCTCGTCCACATACCCACAAGCGCCTGGCAATCCTTCATACCCCACAGCAGCAGGCTCATCGTACCCTCCCGGCACGGTCGCAGGCGCGAAATACCCCATGCCAGCAGGGTATAAAACTGCAGGTTCCACTGCGGGGACAGGGCACTTGACTGCGGGGACAGCAGCGTATGGGGCGTATCCGGGGGCAGCTGGGGGTTATGGAGGGGGGCCTGGGATGTCAGCAGGTGGGACAAGCAGCGGCGGGTATGAGGATGTTGGGGGCAGTCAGTACAAGGACGCCAGCAGCCTATACCTTCAAGGCCAGCAGGTACGGTCAGTCTATGAGTGGCTATGAGTGGCTTTTTGTGCCGATTCTCCTTTAATTTGATGTGTGTTTCTTGCTTTTGGTCCTGCCAGTCCATCCCCTTATTCCGTTTTGGTTTCTTCTCTTTGTTTCCGTGTGTGTGCGCAACGCATTGCCTTGTGGGCAGGTGTCAAGAGACATGGCAGCAGCAGCAGTGGCAGCAGGCATGCCCACGTCTTCCTACTACAACCTTGCACCAGGACAAGCTGGTCATGCAGGGGGCTACCCATCAGCCACACACAGCCATCCCCAGGCACCAGGTGCCCACGCCACACACCCTGCAGCAGCATACGGAGCAGCCGCCGCCGCCGCTGCGGGATTATACCATGCTTCCCAGTCAGGCCCCGGCGGGCCTTCAGGCCATGTGCACGGGCACTCCCACCAGCAACTGCTGCAGTCGCAGGGTATGGGTGGTAGCGCTGGCGGTGCTGGCGGGTCTGCTGGCGGTGGTGCTGGTAGCTACCAGCAGCAGCAGCAGCAGCAACAGCAAGCGCAGGCGCAACGCTCCCAGCAGAGCTGGAGTGGCACATACTGAGGCCGACAGTGTGGGAGTGCGAGGGGTCTGGTGCATATTGAAAGTGGCTGTTTCTCGCAGATGTTGCCAGCTTGTACTGGTCCCCCGCCTGCCCACCTGCTTGCTTGTGCCCATGCTCTCTAACATTGCTCCAGGCACCCTACCCTGGTGTCCGATAGAATTGTAGGTTGCCTGTAAGGGATTTTCCCCCTTGTGTTTAGGAACCTTTTTGTTTGTTTTGCTGCAGTTACCAAGTTGAGGCTTCAAGTCGGACCTTCCAATAAAATAAAGTGGGGATAAAATGTGACACTACGGATAGCTGTTCAAGTTCAATACCGCACATAAACATGAAATTTGTACAATTATGGAAGTATGGTAAGCATTTTAGAAGGAAACAATCACTCCAGACACAACTATTTACACCTTCTGTACAAAAAAACGCGAAAATGACCTCCACCACCAGCAGCCACTCAGTATGGGTGCCTGTATGGCAGAGAATGCAGAGGCGCCCGCCTTGCAGGAAGGTGCTCGTATAAGTGAGATCAAGGTTTGCTGATAGGTCACTGGATCAATGGTGACCGCGTGGGGACACCCGTGGAGATTGCTCCCTGGACCAAGCAAGGTTCGTCGGTTCGAGTGTCTTCCAGACAGCCTCCCCAACCTCGTGTGCCTTCCTTGCCAGGGACGCTCCTCCCTCCTTGATCGCCTTTGACGGTCCGTGAAAAGCTCCCTGAAAATCCTGAAAACAAAGAGGAAGATCGGAACGTCAATTAGGAGCCTGAGAAGGCTGCATAAGAACAAGCGCGATTACACAAGCAGGAGCGACTGCCATGGCTATGGCTCGAACACATGGGAAGCAGCAACGTACCGAGAAGGAATGAACGGCTGCCTCCCACGCCTCCTCGATCATCGGATCCACGTCCACCTGGAGGCCGTGATGGTGATGATGGTGCCGTCGAGGCAAAGAGCCGCTTCTGACGGGACTGTCCGGGATCGCACAATCCGACATGGTATGGAAAGTTGTGCCAGGACCTCGGAGGAACGGTGATTTGGCTGCCGCAGCAGCCACGTGTCGAACACTCTTCGGGTCCAGCGGGTGCAGCGGAGTAAGCGTCATGGCCCTTGCTGCTGTAGAAACTGTCGAACTCGGAGTGACGCGGACGAGGAGCAGTGAGTGGAGCTGTGGAGTGAAATACGCAGAACGAGGGTTTCAGACCACCGGGCGACGGAGCTAAGAGTACGTCTAATCCAGGGATAAAACCAACGGCTTGGAGGAGATCAAGCAGAAGCAGCAAATGGCTTGGAAAAGAGTGTGGGATCTTCACTGACGGGGCGAACGTATTGGCTGAATATGAAGCTAGCGCTATCAGATGACTGAAAGTGACGGCTTACGGTTTGTTCCGTTCGATTCGAGACCTGATTTGACGGTATGCAACTACGACAGCATCCAATCGGAGCTTTCAAGGCATGCGCCTGCTCCCATGATCCCATCCCATCCCGACGGACGGACCCAGCTAGCAGGCATCCCATGCGACTCCTGAATTTGCGGGGAAGTTGGAGTAGAGACGGTGGAGTTGCGGTTGGGACAGCTGGTTTCCAGTCTAAGGTTATGCAAGCGCGATGACGTGTTGACGCGTTGGGGTGACGGGAGAGTGCGCCTGGACTGGCCTCCCCGGTGACAATGCTGTTGTGGTTTTTTCGCAAATTGACGGTTTGAGGTATGCCACGTGTGATCTCTGCTGGGATCCTGGGGATGGTGAGGTCAAAAGTACCTGTTTTGACACGGTCACAGCGTTAGTGTCGCAAGCAGTTGCTTGCATATCGTCATGGGGTGGCAATTCTCGCTGTTGTGGTCCCCAGGAATGCGTTTGACTCACGTCAAGTTCAAGTATTCTCTATGTTCGTGCTACTGAATGATAGGAATCCCGCAAAGTAGCCAATGATAATTATCAAATATGCCTTATGTTACAAACATGTATGAAAACAATCTACCATTATATTTACTTCCACTAAAACTATATCCAAGTGAAGTCAACTCTGTCAATAGGCGTTTTGATAACTCGTGCTATTTGTTGTTCATTAATAGGTATACTGTTCCTCATTTTTCATGGCACAATAATACTATTTCTTATTCTTCATGCCACTTTTTTTCGAGAAGACTTCGTAGAAGCACATCGGTTTTGGTAAATCACGATTCATGCCTCGTACCATGTCCTCGTGAGGTTCCCAATTGCTTCCTGTCCTGACACTGTGGATTGTATCTTGTGCTCCCAGAATTTGCTACTAATCCTACTTATCCTAGTCGTCAACTCTTCCTTAGCCTCTTCGGGTTGATGCGTGACCAGTTGCGGTGAATGGCTTCCAATAAGGAGTCTCGTTGTTTCACAGAATCGACCTAACCCTTCGCTATCTTCCACCTATCACACACCGTCCTTGATCGTTCTTCAATAGCAGCTATGGCCCGTAGGATCGCGCTGATCCTCCTTGTCCTCGGTCTCCTGATCGTACCGTCGCTGTGTCGACCCAACGCTTCCGTCAGACGGTACGCTCCCTTTCCCTTCGCATATACTTACGACTGAGAGAGTATTGCAGGTTTGCCCTTAGCGATCATTCCACTAACCAGTGATATTGGAGTAGCAGATTTCGCTATAAGATCTACAGGATGAATGCTCCTGCGTTTCCACTGGATGTTTCGGATCATCTTATTAGTAATCTACATACCCTTCACGAATACGTCGGATACACTCGTTTCACAACCATGGCAGGGTGGTTACGGCATCAGCGGCTTCATCACAAGGAAATGAACCAGAGGAGGATTCAGGGACGGGGGACGGGGAGGGGAACGGGGAAGGGGTAGGGGAGGCGATGGAAGGGCGAGCCATGGATCCACTGGCAACGGGTACTCAGTGCAATGTCACCGGCGCGTGCCTTATCTGCACGGAGCAGCAGAAGGTAGGAACGCTCGCGACTCGTGTCCAGCCGTTAAGTCTCTAACAGTAGTCCAAGCCGTCTAATTTCGCAAGTAAGCCAATCAAATCATGCTTTTGTTTGATTGTTTGCCTCCGTACTTGAACGTATTCTTGGCGTGTTACTCCTCCTCCCACTTCCTCCCCTCTCCCTAACGCATCTTCTCTTTCCATCTCAAGAACAATCCTCCCCCCTCCCTCGCATCCCTCACATCCCCATCCACCCCACCCCGCAACCCCTCTCCACCCACGTCAACTGCTCTTCCCCTCCCTCCCCACCTCCCCCCCCCCCCCTCTCCGGCGCAGGTGGAGGACCCCGCGTGCCAGCCGACTGGCTACCGCCAGGCCATCTCCTGTATCGAGCGCTACAGCGGCGCCGTCTCCTCTCTCCCCTCCGCACGCGCCCGCTCTGCCGGCGCTACCAAGCCCCGCGGGGGAGTGGTGCGGGGCCCGCGCCAGGCGCGCGGAGAGGCGGGGGGAAGGGGGTCGGGCAAGGGGAGGGAGGATGGCGGGGAGTTGCAGGAGGGAGGGGGAGAGGACGGGCCAGGGGAAGGCAGAGAGGCGCAGGAGATTATTCCTGATGGGCGCAGCGGACACAGTGAAAGCAGTGGGGGCAGTGGGAGCAGTGGGCGCAGAATTCAAGAAGAAAAGGATGGGGCGAGAGGTAGCAAGGGAGCTAGTGGTCCCCAAAGTGTTGGTAGCCGTGAGCAGCAGGGAGTGGACGAGACGGCTGGTGGGTTGTCTGCGAGTGTTTCGAGGAGGGTGAGACTGCAAGAGGAAATAGTTGTGGCGCAGGAAGGCGAATACAGGGAAGGAATGCTTACTGTGGGGACGAAAGAGGGCAGTGGGGTGGGACTTTCAGGTTCTGCTAGAGGAGCAGAAGTGGTGGAGAATGAGAGACGTGAGAAGTTTGAAGTGGCCCCAGGATGGGGGTCAGAGGAGGGGAAGGTGTTGCTGAGGCGATTACTGGGGGAGGTGAGAACGGTGCAGGTGGCTGGGCGGGTGAGCAGCATGGAAGCCAGCGCGGAGGAGGAAGGCGCCAGAGGCAGCAGCACTGGCAGCGGCGGCAGCGGGGAGGGGGTGGGGGAAGAGAGGATGAGGCGCTTCCTCACGTACGAGTCATGCAAGCCTGAAGTGGAGACTCTGTCGGTGCTGGGCTTTGAGGTGAGCGCCTCTGGCTCAAGACTGACATGGGCTCATGGCATTCGCTCATCGCGCCCACTCGTCTGTTCGTGTTTTCTTGTTTCCTTGCTGCCGTTCTATGCGTTGCACCTTCCTGCACCTGGCATACCTCAGCTGTTACCGAGGAGCTGCTGCTGTTGTGTTACGGGTACTGTCCTGTGTATCTTTCTGTTGTGTTACAACGACACACAGCTTAGGTCCGATTTGATCAGTGGATCGACTCTCTCTCTACCCTGGTATCCATGCACGAATGTTCTTTTATGTGCAATTGATTCTTTTTTTTTTACTCTCGCATGGACGCATGTGCGCAGGGCATCATGCTGGCAATACTGGCAGTATGCGGTCCCATCGTGTACCATCGCAAGAGGAAGGCGGGCATGCAAGCAGGCACTGTGCGCCTCTCTAACTCTAGCAACCGCTTCTAGCAGCTTCATTTGCATCTTCAAGTGCGTGAGATTAACAAAGTGCCCAGTTTGGTACAGCAGCGTGGTTCATCAGAAGAACCCAGGGAGTGATGTCGACTATCATTAGATTCTGCATTTCACTTACCAGCATGAAGTAGGATCTTACCGTCCCAAGCGAGACATCTGTCATTGTCGCCATGAGCACACAAACCAATTCTATACCTGTCATATGGTTGCGAGTGATGCATCTAGGCTTAGTGCATTCCTAGTGGCGAAGGATTCCAAGTCAGGCTGTAGTGCAAGTGAAGAATTACATGCAATTTATATGATTGTAAGCTGCAATATAGTATTTCATGTTCTAAATTATGTTGAAAAGAATGTTTTTTATTTTGTTGAAGTCGTCTATATGAAGCGTAAATAGCGACTTCTGTAATGTTCAGTTTTTTTTTTTTTTTTTTTTTTTTTTCTGGGTGTTACCAACACCTGGCTGTCGGTCGTAACCCGCCTCTCCATTTGTTTACACTCCTCGCTGGGTCAACGAGGTTGTTGTATCCACTCCCAGATGAGTGTAAGGAATTTTCCGAATTCCTTACTGGGTCACACTGTACGCGTACAACCCCGACTTTCGGAAAACCAGGCTCGGCCCGCCGAGCCTTCCGAGCCACCACCGCGTCGCTTTCGGGTTTTCCAACCCCGAACCTGCACCCAACCATCTCGCGACCCCGCGACCTCGGCCTAGCTAGCCTTGCTATATTGTGCCTGGGCCTCGTTGTTCATTCAGACGTTGTAATCACTTCCGCATTATTGAGTTCTGCGCACTCTTTCCTTTCACAACTTATAACACTTGGTATCAGAGCCTAAAGTCCTAGGTTACCCTCGCGTTTCCGGGGTAGTTTGTAGAAGGGGAGCGATAGACTTGGTGGGCTGTTAAGCGGTCGGCCCGTGGAATAGATCTGATTATTCCACTCCGACTACGATAGCATTAACGCCTTCACCGAAGTCAGAAAAATCGCGAGCCACCCCCTGCCCGTTCGACGAAGCCTGAGGCACATGGAGCAGGCCGAGTTCAACGAGTTCATGCAACAGTTCCGTGCGATGCAGGCCAACTTGCAGGGTATGACTGCAGAGATGGAGCGTCTACGGAAGGAAAACGCCGAACTACACCAAGCGCGTGGTGAAGCGCGCCAGGAGTCGCCTGTCGTGGACGACGCAAGTAGCAGCACTACACTAGATGAGCGGGTCTGGAGCGAGCTGGAAGGCGAGATGGATGCGGACGAAGCAAGGCAGGCGCAGCAGGAACAGTCGCCACAACAGTCGCGTGCAGTACCACCACGTGCAGCAGCGACGACGACGGCGACGTCAGCAGCAATGCCAACGGCCCCGATGGCAGCAACGGCTTTTGTGAAATTCAAGCCGACAAACCCGCCCCCGTTTAACCCGAGTGACAAGTTTGTCACTGTTTCTGCATGGTTGTTCGGTGTGGAGGTGTTCTTTAATGCTGCTATGATTTATGACGACGCCACCCGCATTAATTTCGCAGTTTCACTGTTGCGAGGACCTGCGATGGAGTGGTGGAGGCGAACGCTGCAACACGAAGGGACTTCGGCAGGAATAGCACGTGCGAACGACGGGACTTCAACACCTGTCACGCATCAGGCAGCATCGATTTTCGGGACGGCCACGATACGCACATGGAAGGAGTGGGGCGCCGCCTTGCGAACCAGATTCGAGCACGTATCCGCCTCGGACTCTGCTCGCATGCAGCTGCGTACCTGGAAGCAGCTGACTTCAGTCCAAGACTACACCAGCAAATTCTGCAACTTGGCGGACCAGGTGGACGACATGAGCGACGCGGAGCGGTTGGATCGCTACGTGGCGGGCCTGAAATACGAGATACAGTACGAGGTCCGACGAACCCGGCCACGCAGCTTCAACGACGCCGCCCGGGAAGCCGAGTCAACGGATGCGCTGATGCAGTGGGCGAGATCGAGCTCCCGGGAGGGCCCTCGATTTCGTGGACCGACTCAGCAGCCCACGATCAACGGCGTGGATGCACCTAGCCGAGCCCTTGGGCCGTGCTTTTTATGCAACCAGCTGGGCCACCTGAAAAAAGACTGCCCGAGGCTTAAGCAGGGGAAGAAGAACGACGGAGAAGGGTCAGGAAAAGATACGAGTCAGTAGCAGACGGGCCACCTACTGACGAGACCCTGTCGCCCGACAATCACCATCCACACCGGGTCGTGGTACCGATCAGCGCTATCGACCAGAACCGGACGAATAACGTGGGTGAACACGTGGACTACCCTGTGCTGGTGGTAGGGAGGGTTAACGGTTATAAAATTAAAATCTTCGTTGACGGTGGGGCGAGCCACAGTCTCGTCAACCTGGCAACGGCCAAAAAAATGGGGGTGAAGCTGACCAGGTGTCTGCCAGAGATCGATGCAAGGTTGGTGGACGGGACACCGCTGGCCATCCGAGATGAGGCGCGAAAAATTCGGATAAAGTGCGGCGACAAATTCGGGTCTGGCATGAGGATGTTGGCGACGACGTTGGACGGCTGCGATGTGCTGCTGGGGAGGGATTGGCTGCAGCGCTTCAATCCGACGATCGACTGGACGACTGGGGCGTGCGTCGTGCGAGGATACGGAGGGAAGACGACGCTTCCGAAATGGACGGAGCCGGAGCCGGTGACGACACGTGTCAACGCGGTCAACATGCAGCGTGCGATGAACAGCGGAGCTCAGGCCTTCTTAGTGCACCTGTACGAAGTGGCAGCTTCCGAGAAAATCGCGGACATCGACACCCTCTGCGCGGCAGTCCCCGAGGAATTGGCGAGCATTATTCGGAAGTATCCCGAAATTTTCGCGGATGACCTCCCGGATGGTTTGCCCCCCCAACGACCTGAGGATCATCGGATCCAGCTGGAGCCCGGCGCGCAACCTACTGTGCGGACACAGTGGCGGCTCAGTCAACCAGAACTCGCCGAGTTGCGGGCCCAGCTGGATTACCTGCTCGCCAAGGGATTTATCCGGCCCAGCACGTCGCCGTATGCAGCACCGATACTGTTCACGCCGAAGAAGGACGGTGGCCTACGCATGTGCATTGATTATCGGGCGCTGAATCGGGTCACGATAAAGTCGCGTTACCCGATCCCGCGAACCGACGATCTGCTGGATCAACTTCGCGGAGCTCGGTATTTTTCGTAAATCGACCTGCGGGGAGGCTACCACCAAATTCTCGTATTCGCCGACGACTGCCCGAAGACCGCTTTTCGCACACGCTACGGCAGTTACGAGTTCACAGTGATGCCGTTCGGCCTGACAAACGCGCCCTCAACGTTCCAGCTCACCATGAATGGAATTTTTCGGGACATGCTGGACAAGAAGGTCATCGTGTACCTGGACGATATCCTGGTGTACAGCGCGACAAAAGAGGACCATCTGCGGGATTTAGAGGAGGTGTTCCGGCGTTTACAGGGGCATCGGCTAATTACAAAGGGGTCTAAGTGTGAGTTCCTGAAGCCGGAATTAGAGTTTTTGGGGCATGTGGTTTCTGGCGAAGGGATTAAAATCGACCCGCGTAAGGTGGACGCCATCATTAAGTGGAAGCCGCCTACTAATATCCCTGAGTTGCAAAGTTTTCTGGGGTTTGTTAACTACGTTCGTCGTTTTGTACCCAATATGGCAGGGATAACCAAGCCGCTGACCGACCTGCTGCACCACGACAGTGATTTCAGGTGGGGGGAGAGGGAGCAATCCACCTTCGACGCCCTAAAAAACATTTTGGGTTCACCCCCGGTACTCCGCCTCGCCGATCCATCTCGACCGTTCGAAGTCGTCACGGACGCCAGCGATTTCGCCGTCGGCGCCGTCATGCTACAGGACTTCGGCCAAGGGCTGCAACCCATCGCCTACGAGTCACGCAAGATGCAGCCACCTGAGGGCAACTACCCAGTCCACGACAAAGAAATGCTGGCCATCGTCCATGCATTTCGCGTCTGGCGCTGCTACCTCACAGGAGCCGACGTGACGATTCGGACCGACCATAAATCGCTACAGTACATGCGCACGCAACCGACACTCAACCCGCGACAAATCCGGTGGTTGGACTTCCTCGAATCCAATTTCCGGTACACCATCACGTACAAAAAGGGCGCCAACAACATCGCCGACGCCCTTACCCGACCATCCATGCAAAACGCGGCGGTACTAATCGCCCACACCAACCCGATGCTAACAGGACTATTCACCCACGGCTACAAGATCGACAGGTTTTTTCGGAACCCGCAACAACAGGCTGCTACACCGCACGGCAAATCCTACCTAAAAACCGGTACGAACCGGATTTGGGTACCAGCATACCAGCCTTTACGGGAGCTGCTGACGCAGGAGGTTCACGACTCCAACCTCTCCGGACATTTCGGCACCGACAAGACACTGAAGCTGCTGCAGCGGAATTATTACTGGCCGGACATGCAGACCGATGTGCAGCGCTACGTGTCAACTTGCCCGACCTGCCAAGCAATGAAGTCGTCGCGACAAAGGCCAGCCGGACTGCTGCAACCCCTCGCGCCACCCGAACGACCGTGGCAACAGGTGACGATGGATTTCGTCACGGGGCTCCCAGCTGGCACGAGTGGCAACGACTCGGTGTTGGTCGTCGTCGATCGCCTAACGAAGATGGCGCATTTCGCCCCATGCCGAACGACGATCACAGCCGAAGATACAGCCAAACTGTTCATCTCCACCGTCGTACGTCTACACGGGTTACCTTCGGCGATCATCAGCGATCGTGATCCGAAATTTACGTCGAAGTTCTGGCAGGAAACGTGGGCACAGTACGGTACCCGCCTGCAGTTTTCGTCGTCATACCACCCGCAAACCGACGGACAGACGGAACGGACAAATCAGACCATAAAACAGCTGATTCGCACCAACTGCCCCGACATTCGCAAGTGGGAAGATTCGCTGCCGATGCTGGAATTCGCGTACAACAACGCCCCGTCGGCCACGACTAAACAA